AATAAATTCAATTAGGACAACTTTGGCAGTACGGGGAAATAAAGCCGTGGACCTGTATTTTTTTGATCGTCCATTCCCTCGTCACCTCCGGGAAGACATCCACGTCTGGGGAAGCTGCCCTGCCGTTGTTTGGCGACTTTTTCCGGGAAGAGAACTGCCTTTTACCTTTTTCACTATTTTGGACAACTTCAAGACAAATAATTGATAAACCATGTCTTAAAAAATCAGGAAAATCACCAAAAATCAAGAAAAATAAAAAGAGGTGAATAATATAAATAGTCACTACATATCAATGTCAGAGCCACAAAATCATGAAAAATCTCAGGTACAAGTCTCTCACCATACAAATACGAGACATATCTCGGACCTTAAACCAAATCTAATAAACACAAAAGTATTATCCGACATCCACCAACTACTAGTAGCATTCATACAGATTGTTCTACATCCTTACCTCCAATAGAAAATGGGGAAGTCATAATCATATACTACAATCATCTCTAAATTGACCATCCTTACATCCAATGTCTTCTGGCATCTAGCCAAGTACTATCCAAAGTTACCAGACTTATTTCAAATCATGCACTCGCTTCCACTAAGACATCTGCAGAACACAAAATTAATGAAAATGGTGATCTCTCATGACACGTCCTGCTCGAAATCACTTGTATATGGCCAAAATACATATAGGTAAAAGGAGATTGTTCTCATGATGTCTATGGCTATCTATCGTGTCGACTAAGATAAATGAAATACACAACTAGCTTCATGCTCAATGCTACTTGTCTTCATCCAAATACATCAACCAAAATAATCGTGAGGACCAAACCAATGAGTACCGCAGTAGTAGCAAGTTGTATACTTGTCTTTCTAGATTAAGTTAAATATCTATTCAATAACTAACAGAGGGTAAATAAATATGCATTTTTGTTTTCGTAATTCACTTGTTATTAAGGCTACATACAAAGAACCCCGATGGCCAACAAGTTAAAAAAACTGAATCACTATTATGAAACCTGAATGGAGACTTAAAAAGAAAAAGAAAACTGGAATGCCATAGCGCATAACAAGAAAGCAATGTGTCGATATAGTAGAAATAAAAATATAAAATAAGTTACTACTACTACAATAACGAAAGCAGAGGACAATCAGTATGGGATGATCACTATGACACTATTCTACACCGAGATCAATCATGCGATAGCGATTTTTTTACCCCAAACAGACCTCGTCACAAAATGCAAATAATTGAACTCTAATAGCGAACAAAGAAACAGAGCAAAGATAACAAGGATCGACGGAGCTGCCGAGAGACCTAATCGAACAGGATAAAACCAAACCTTGCCGATGGAATGTCGGTCTTTCCATAGCCACAGTCCATGGACCGTAACGCCTTAGCATTTCGTCGAGAAGTTGGTGGACGCCCTTTAAATTTCCACCCAAGCACTCACCGGCTAATCCAAGTTCAATGGACGTCTTGAAGACAAGAACATGCTCGCAAGCGTGGGATGATTCTGCATTTGTGTACGGTGTACCCAATGCCTAGGTGGTTTCTCCCACTAATTCCAACATGCCGCCACCTCTTTGCACCAAAGAGGGTATCCGCCCCATCCTCGCTGTCGGTCGCGCCGCCCCGACTAGTAGCCGCCATGGTGCGCTGCGTGTGGCGTGCGATCACCACCGAGGCATCGCACCCTTGCAGCCTCCGGCTCCGCCCGCAGCGGCTGCGAAGGTGGATGGCGGCGGAAGCGCGCGTATCACGGCAGACTCCGGCGGAGCGCCAACACGCATGGCGGCGACGGCGGCTTGAGCGGGGTGTGGGGGTGGCGGCGGCTCAATCTCGCCACCCCGCCCGAAGCAGATGAAATCCGGCGTTAGCACGTGAACGGACGACCGAGAATTTGCGAGACTGGGGTTCTTTGGCGGCGAAGACGTGTGGGGAGGAACGTTGGTGTTCTCTCTCCTCCGGGGACGTAGGCGGCGCGACATGCGGAGGTGGGGGATGAGGACCTCGGCCTGTCGAGTAGCCCGAGTTCGTGATGATTCGCGAGACGTCTGTGTGACAGGTTCGAACTAATCTGTATGTATCAGACGGTTAATCTTGCACGGAGAGCGATCCGACGCTTAGCGTACTAGCAAGTGACGTGGCCCAATAATATGGCGAGCTTGAACTCGTTTCGAAAGGTAAAGATAATCTGATACATGTCAACAAAATCATCAAGAACTGATGATTAAGGCAGTGGAAATTCACTCAATTCAGAGTGGAGATTGACGTGTGTACTCTTATTGAAGCGAGCATTGTATTAAGCCAAGTCGTACTCAGTCAGTTAGTCACCTCCGATCAAAAAGTAAAATCTGAAATCTACCTCTAGTCACCATCTAGCAAAGCTAGCACACCAAATTTGAACAAACCAAGACTACAATATTCGAGAGAATAGCACAATTAAGCTTAAAAAAATCATTCATACCGCTCATAACCAAGTCAAATCATCTCACACTCTTCAAGTCAAATCATCTCACACTCTTCAAGTCATCTTGAGAGGCTTCAGATCCAACAACGATTGCATAACAAGACAAGATTACATCTACAAACAAATTGACCATCTCCTACACCGCACATGAAGCTACAACACGTAAACCTACAAAGAAGACATCAAACCACCATGAATCCATGACCGACCACCAAAGCAGAATGCATGCAACGAATCAAGAGCGAAGCGGAGAACTAACTCATCTCTCCGCGGCATCGTGTTGTCACCGGACGGGACAATGGGAAGCGAAGCGATGTCTTGGCTCACGGACCGTACCTCCAAGATCTACAAGAAACAATGGAAATCAATCAAACTCTAGCGACGAGAAACTACGGTTGGGGAAGGAGATGCAGGGGAGGAGGACCGACCAGCAGAGACGGATGGCGATAGCGACGGCGGTGGAGGAGCGAGAGGCGGCGGTGTGGGTGAGACAAATACCAATGTGATTTCTAGAGATCGACGTGGAGCCGTGAATTTCAGGAGGAACGCCACCGCCGAAGGCCGGGAGATCGTCGCGACCCACCGGTATGCGCCACCACGAGATGCCGGGTGGCGGCGGGCGGAGGCCTCGCGACTTCATAAATGCGCATGAAAGAAAGCGAACGAAGTCGACGACAGTGGTCAGGGAACCCTCGCGGCCTCATGATCGGGCGGCCGGATCTCGCGGTGGCTCGCAAGTCGCGACGGGAAACCCTCCCGCCCTAACGAGTAGTGGATTTTTCCTCGCGAAAAACGCCGGGAAGTGGGCTGCGATCCGCGCCTTGGTGGGCTGCCAAAGGGCGCACAAATTTGGCCCGGGTAAGAATGGCACGGGGCAGATTAGCCCAGAGAAAAGGCCGGGATCCCGCCGGGAATTTGGGCTGCCAAAGTAGGCCTTAAGGATTCAAATGGGCCCTGAGAATCTTCTGTAGATTTGCTTTCGATACCTGGAAACCATCACGTTAAATCAGAGGGGGGGGCGGGAGAATCACCCACCACTGTCACTATAAAAAAACTTAGCACAGAATACGATATACACTCCCAATTATAGAATTGCCCACCATTGTCCATTGCCACTATAAGAAGATTAATAAAATACCCATGTGCCTAATTACATATGGTACCCTTTGGTGCCGCTATGAAAATTAGGAGAAATACTCCTATGCATGCTTACGACATCTAGAATAAAAAAAAGAAAATTGCTATCTCTCAACCGGTTTTTTTCTCTCTCCAACAACCGAATTTGTTGGCCGTCGATATCTCTCTCCGGCTGGCGATTTGCCTGTGCGTGCTTGGCTTGGGTGCCGGAGGCGAGCTGGTCGAGCTGCGCTGCAAGTGAGGGCCGACGGCGGTAGATCGACTGGCGCCGGAGTGGGAAGCGGGCAGCGCGGTGGGTGGGGGCTGGAGGCAGGCTGGTCGAGCTGCTAGTGAGGGCTGGCGGCGGCAGATCGACCGGCGCCGAAGTGGACAGAAGTGGGTGGTGGCTGGTCGAGCGGCGCAGCCTCCTCCGTCGTGGTTCGTGACTTGTTTTTCGCGAGCGTTAAGGGAAGGGAAAAAGGGACAAGGTTGGGGAGGTGGGTCCCACCACATTTTGTGAACCATTTGTATTTTGTTCTGAAATTTTTGAACAATTTGACATATGTTTCTCTGATATCTGAAATTTATAGAAATAATTTATAAATTTTTTTTGAAAAAATTAACATATATTTGTGTTATCCCCAAATCACATCTGTCTGTCCAATAAATTATACTAATGAAATCATTGTAAATATAGTAATTAGATAGTTAAATATAGCTAAAAGACAGTGTAAATACATGGGCAAAATTCAGTTGTTAGGAGGAGTTAAAACAACTGAATGCCACCTAAACCGATCAAAAATTAACTCCTGTTTACAAATACCCGCATACTATGATAGGTGTAATTCACATGATCAAAGATGGACATGGCTTGTAACGTGTATCTCAAGAACATTGCGTTAGTTAATGGAGTAGGATGTACCAACTAAAATAAAATTTATTCAATCAGAATAGTGATAGATATAACTAAATAAATGCATGTAAAGTTCTTTTTTTTTTTTGAAACTCAGAATGTCTATTTTTAACATGATGGGCCTCATATTGTCACATGGTTGGCCCGTCTGGAACTTAACATGATGGGCCTCATATTGTCACATGGTAACATGATGGGCCTCAAATTGTCTCTTTCATGGCCCACTTTCCAAAGTCCAGGCCTAACTACCACACTTCTCTCTTCCTATAAGGCATCGACTATCTAGCCAGCGCAAACCCTAGCTGACCTCTTCTCCTCGCGCCGCTGCCGCCGTCGCCATGTCGAAGGGCAGTTTTTACGCCCCGGTCCTCCATTCTCTCCCGACGATCCGACTCGTTCGTCTGTTACTCCTCTCGCTTACTGGCTAACTCAGCCGGCGTCTGTGTCGAAATGGATGAACTGCCGCAGCGAGGGGAGGGACTGCGGGGAACAAATTCCGCATGTCGCTGGGTCTCCCCGTGGCAGCGACCGTGAACTGCGCGGACAACACGGGCGCCAAGAACCTCTACATCATCTCCGTCAAGGGCATCAAGGGTAGGCTCAACCGCCTGCCGTCCGCCTGCGTCGTCATGGCCACCGTCAAAAAGGGTAAGCCCGACCTCAGGAAGAAGGTCATGCCCGCCGTCATCGTCCGCCAGCGCAAGCCGTGGCGCTGCAAGGACGGAGTCTACATGTACTTCGAAGGTAACTCTCGCCGCTTTTCCTAGTCCTACATTGCGTTGGCTGACACTGACCATGTATTTGAATCTCAGCCTTAGTCCTATATAGAACGTATTCCTGCAAACCTCATCTTCTATCCCAGTTTTCCTTCAGTAACAGTAGTGAAATTCAGTTGGTTGGTGGATCCGCCCATGATTCGCCAATACTAGTCTTTCAAGCTAGCTTGATAAGGATTTTAACTAAGTATAGGTGATTCCAAACTTAAAAAAGGGAACTGTATGTTTTTTCTTTTGCTAGCTGTTCACAATTATCTTGCCAATCTGAATAATTCAGTTCATCTTTTTTTTCCCCAAACATCATATCTACAAAATAGTTTCCTATAACCAAATGTGTTTCCTTATTTCAGTTTGCCATGTAGCCTTACCTATCTGTTTACTCCACTGCTTATTCCATTCATTTTCTTCTTTCTTCAAGTAGGCATCTAATTCTTGATCTCTTTGTTTTCATGTCATTGAGTTGCAGGCGCTTCATTGCTTGTTTTTTTAATTTTTAGTTTATAGTAATATGTTTTGAAACACAATCACTGACGGAAGGACTATTAGGTTCTTTAGCTTTATATGGAGCAAACTTGCCATGTTTGTATATTCCTAAGCAAACGTCATAAAATAAGCTTCTTTGGTGTTGAGGATTTCTTCACATGAATTTCTCCGTCTGGAAGCAGTCTCATATTCCATTGCCCTAGGTAGCGGCGTTGCTGCCACGAAACTTTGGGACTGGCCATGAGACATATATTTCTTATATATTCCATTAGATGATGCCTCATTTATTGGATAACAATTCCCCCCAGTCACATAAACTATTTTTACAACTTGGTTTGTCTATGTTTATAAGTATGCAATCTAGTTTCCTCCATCAAATTGTGTTTTTTTTTTCTTTTTTGGCTTGTTGTAATGTATGCATCATTTTTCTGTTGGCGAGAAGCAAGCACTTAATTGCTTGTTTTCTTCATTTGTTTAATATTCTAAGAGGTACTCAGTGATGGAAGGACCACGAGGTTCTCCGGCTTTATATGTTTGCATGCCCCTAAGCAAACATCATAAAAGAAGCTTCTTTGTTGTTCAGGCTTTCTCCTTTTGAAGAATTTCTCCATCTGGAAGCAGTCTCATATTCCATTGCCCTAGGTAGCGGCATTGCTGCCATGAAACTTTGGGACTGGCCATGAGAATATTTCTTATATTTCATTGTAATACAATGCCTACATTGTATAATCACATTCTTAGTTTCTTACCTAAGCCATCAGCAGGGCATTGCATTGTTTCTGCATTTGGACATTTTGATTATCTTCCTTTTCATATTCATCCTACCTGATCATGTATCTCTGAAAGATGTTGTCAATGTGAATGTTTGCTCTATATAGATGTCTAAAAGGCTTCATCTTAGTTATATTTATATCCTTTTCCATAGTTTTATAGATATAGATGTTTCATGATGGCCTTAACATAATGTGATAACCATCTTTTGTGACTTTAACAACAAAGTTATCAGATGTTGCTATTCAATCTGCTGTGTTGTGTAGCCTCACCGTGTTTGTACTCGGTTGCTTTTCCATTTATTTTCTTCTGTTAACTCATAGTAGTCACCTAAGTCTTGATCTGTTTGTTTTTCTTTTGGCTAGTAGGGCCTTTCATTGCTTGTTCTATTCATATTTTTCTGCTTAATTTTAGTACTACGTGTTCTAGGACACTCAATAATATTTTTCCCTCCATCCAAAGTAATTCCCTAGATAGCGATGTTGATATTTTTTCCCTCCATCCAAAGTTGTCTAATATTCCCTAGATAGCGATGTTGCTGCCACGGAACTTTGGGTCTAGCCATGAGACAGTTTTATTATGCTTTATCATGTCTAACTAATTACTAGTTTGTTGTGAAATGTCATTTGTGGGTTGTCACTGTTACTTCTCTATGTATGTTTTAATTAGCTTCGCATAACCCGCAGTCTATTGATCATGCAGAAGGGGTTGAGATAGTTTCCTTGTGCTCCTTATTAGGCCCCATTTTAACCTGTTTTGTACTCCGTACCTCAACATCGTGATAATGTACTTGAGTGAACATTGTGGAAATGTACTTGAGTAATGTACTTCAAGGGAAAAAGCGCACAATTAAGAGGCAGGCTTTGCACTTATGTAGTCAGTTCAGTGATGCGCTGGCGCTATGATCTTGTTTTCTGTGACCCTCCGATTTGTGCTTTTGTATGGCCATTTCAGTATTCAGCCTGCGATCTACCCCATAATTTCCTATTAATCAGTTATAGCGTCTCAACAGTTTGGTAAATATACTCCCAAATCTCAATCTCTTTCTGGCAAGAAGGTACTATTGTCAGGCATCTACGCTACGCTGGTGTGTTGGCGCCCCTAGCTAGGCCACGTACAACGCGAGCGCTTAATAACTCTTACTTTTCTCTCCTCTGAAGCGTTTGTTGCATTGCACAAATCTTTATCCACATGTTCCCTAGCGTCGTTTTCTTTCCTCGGCGCTCAGTTATGTGTTTGGCAGCCCTAGCGTTGATTTTTTTCCTCAGTGTTCCATGTTGCCCTCGACTTTTTCGTTTCGGAGGCTCTGGCCTCTAGGTGTGAGTTATGGTGCCGGGATGCTAGTCATGGGCTCATGGCTCTGCCGCCGTCTAGGAGGTGGGCTGTAATTAGAATTCCGACCACTATTTTCAGATCTAGAGATACTAAGAGGATGCTATGTTGAAGGTTTCTGGGTGTGAGCTAGGGTACTGAGATGACCGACCATGACAGCGAATTATTTCATCCATGGTCAGAGGCTCGGTATGTATGGAAGACGATGGTGTGTATGATTTCTTGTATACCCAATAATTTTATTTAGAAGTATTTCAAAACCATTTTTGTTACTCAAATTTTAGATGTTATTGGAGATGCTCTGATTTTGAATGGGAAATGCGACGATGGAGCTGAAAATGAAAATGCATCATGTATGATCCCAGAAGGTTTGTTTCTATTAAGATAAGAAGGCAAGTACAAATCTCTATATTCAAGCGTTATTTTCTTCAAAACTCTCAACTATACCCGAGGTTCTATCGTAAGTTGGTGAAATCAGATTCGCATACAATAAAAAAGACTACTTACACTCAAGCGGGGCAATTTATAACCTATACAGGATCAGTTATTCCGTGGGACCAAATAACCAAAAGTAAGGCTCCCTTTGAAATCTGCACAAAATTAGAAAACCGAAACCGGAAAGTTTAGCCATCGTCGTCTGGATGCGTTTGCGTTACATCCAGGATTCAACAGTGTGGTTGTACATGTAGGAGTTCATCCCGTTGATGTGCGCCTGCAGGGCGTCGGGATCCAGTATGTCTTCTGGCTTCATGCCGGCCTGAATTCTCATTTTTTTTAAACACACACACACACACAATATTCTGTGAAATTATCAATTGACGCATTTAAAGACATATATTTTTACTTCTAATAAGTACTCGTAGCATTCACTTCATACACGCAGTTTTGTAAAATTTGCTCGAAATTTTGTGTTTCACGTTGGAGCACTTACCATGTGGTTGTATTCCTCGTGGTTCTGCATCACCCTCGACGGCTCGCCGTAGTCGTCATTCTTGGCGAATCTGCCGCGGACGCGGGGCCTGCTGTCCGCCAGGGTCTTTCTGCAAGCGTACTGCAATTGTTGGGGGGTGCAATGGCGTCAGCAGCATGCATGGCCGCAGTGGAATTTTGAAACGCTCAAAGCGGTGCATGGCGTCACCTTGATCTTCTTGCTGAAGTTGCGTTCGTTCCGCTTCTTGATGTACCTGTGGATCTTCTCCCGTCTCTCCTCCACGGTGATGCGGGCGCTCTTGAAGTTGGCGTCCTCCAGGCTGGACGCCTCCGTCGCCGCCGCCGGCAGCCGCCCGGGGCTCATGCTGCCGCCGCCCATCTGGCGCGCACCACCAACAAACGTGTCATGCATGCGCGTCATGGTCATGGATGCGCTACGTGATGCATGAACTCTGGGTTGGGTTCATCATGCCATGCCGTGCGTTCGATCTGGCGCTCAACTCTACCTGCATTTCCCCGGCGTTGCCGCCGAACGCCATCTGCGCCGCGGCGGCGGCGGCGGAGTCCGCGTCGGGGCTGTGCGTGGCGGCCAGCGCGGCGCTGGCGCTCTCCATCATCCGCTGGTACTCGCCGATCTCCTCCATCCCCATCATGGACATCATCATGCCGCCGCAACCGGTCCCGAAGAAGCCGCCGCCTGCTTGCGCCGCCGTGTCCTTGCCGAAGTAGCAGCCCTGCGCGGCGGTTTCCATCATGCCGGCCGGGAGCAACGCGCCGGGCTGCGGCTGTGGCTGATGCTGATGCTGGCACAGGGCCTCGTCCAGGCCCACGTAACCTCCTCCGGCCGCCATTGCCGCCGCGAAGCACTCGTCGGTGTACCCTGACGACGCTACGTGCAGCAGCTCGGACGCCGTGCTGCTCATCTGCGTCTGCAGACACGGGTGTTCCGCCGCGCCGGCCACTGGAAGCACCACCGGTACCTGCGCGAACTGCTGCTCGGGCTGAGGCTCATCTCCGGCCGCCGCCGCCGCCGTGAACTGGTAGTCGATGGGGAGGAGGAGTTCAGTGTCAGGAACTGGTGGGTCTTCTTCTTCGAGGAGAGCCGAGAGGGTGGAGTCCAGGGACGGCATCGGGGAGAAGGCCGAGACAGCGGCCGCGGCCGCGGCGGCGCCCAGCGACACGTTGTCGCCGTGGCCGCAGGGCGCGGGAGGCGTTGTTACGGACGACGACGAGGCATCCTCTGATGATGCCGTGAACATGTCCGAGGCCGTGTTCACGGCCGCGAAGAGGTCGCCGCCGCTGCCATCGTCGCAGAAGTCTAGGATGTGCGCCGCTATGGGGCTCGAGATGCCATCCTGCTAAAATTCAGAAGCAAACCAACTTGTCAGCAACATGCGTTTCAGAACAAGCTTACGTTTTATCAACAAGAATAACTGTGTATTCCAAACCTGCAGGGTGAAAATTTTAATCATCGTATAGTTCTAAAAACTGCCTAACTGAGAACTCTTTTTTTAGAACTCACACAAGATTTGCGCCGATCTTAAAATGAAAACTGCTACCTGATAAGCATTGCGCAGTGATTCTTTTATAAACTTTCTTTTTAGGGAATCAAATGCCGTACAGTTGTATTTTGCAACACTAATGTTCTATTTGCCATCTCTCTAAGCATGGCAAAACAGTACACGATATGTATGCTGGCGAATGTCACTGTTAGGATTAGAGAATTTAGGGGGAAAACAGCTTCAATAATCAAAATTCCCAGCGAAATGGATATGAAGTCCATCGAGACCAACAAGCGAAAACAATCAAGTCGAGGAATATATTCTCTTGGTACCGCAGGGGTCCAAAAGCTGAAAGATGTCTTCTTGATCTTGTGTCTTTTTTTGCTTTTCTAGGATAGGCACCAAACAATTATTGCAGCACATACACATTGGTCTAGCAAGAACAAAGCATGCATGCAATCCAATAAAGGAATCCTGATCAAGAAAAAGCATGGGCAACAAGTGGGGAAAACGGCATGCAACAATCAAGAAACCGTTGAAACAAAGGTCCTCCACAAAGGCTTGGAACTCTCAAACAATTCCAGGGAACACATTAGCCTAATGTTAGTGCAGGAGATTTACAGTGAAGGGATGGTCGTCGAGCATGGCGGATCACGAACTCCGGTGCGGGTAACAAGGAGAATTCCGCTTGTCCCTTCTGCTGTTGTTGAAGGAGGGTATGATCAAATAGGAGGGGGTTGAAGACAGGATACAGCAAACTTGTAGATCATGCAAATGGCAATAGCTTCTATTTATAATGCTGGAAGACGAAGCAACAGAAAGTTTATAGGCTATATATAGCCCATAAGAGCCGGCAAGAACTTTGGATTCAACAAGCAAACAACACTAGTTGCTTATTTAGGAGAGGGGTTTACAGACATGTCATATTATTGTTAAAATCTTAATTCGTGTGATGTTTTAGCTAAAACATAGATGGGCAAAATAGCTATTTTTGTGCATACTATGTGTTGTAATTTAGCTCATGAGCAACTACTTAACCGCCTCTCCGTGTCTCTCCAAGATTAGTTACCCCTTACTCCTAGCTCGCTTTTGACCGAGACGTCATTTTAAGTCCCTTTTCCCCCTTTGCGAGTAATAAAATAGGGAGAATTTTTTTCTTGCTTGTGATCATTGGAAAATATATATATACTTAGTTTAGTTATATATAAGCTCTGGACTATGATCGTCACAAATTTAAAGTTTTTTCATGAACACCGATATTTAGAGAGCCCACCTTCCAATCATGAAAATTCACATAAGCATGTGTGACTCTTTTAAAAAGTAGTCATATAATTTTGCAAAACATTTCTTTGCTCTTACTAAATTGTTACTATCTTTTGTATAGTAACCTAGAAACCATATCAATAAAAAACGTGTGCACAAAGACCTAAGTAGCTAGGAATAGGAAAGCGAAAAGACATTCTTGCTTTAGCATGAGCATCAACAACCCCTAGGTTGGTGACGTATCAAGCCAACCATCAGTTTTGGCAGATGCTTCTGAAGAACTAGATGCCGGACGTCACAGAAAGTAATAAAGTGCATGCAAGATGTGTAGTACGTGATTATGCAGCAAACCGTAGGAGAAAGCCATCTCTCATTTTCAATAATCCAGATCTTTAATAAGTCTTCAGGATTGGATGATGATTCAATCCAAAATGCACATAGTGTGAATCAAGCATTCATTGGTATAGAGATGATAGAATTATGAAGAAGGGACACACATGAAGTTAGAAAATTGCATGCGATCTTTTAGGACGAGAAACAACTTAAAAGCGACTCTGTATGGTAAACAAGATTGTTATCTTCATAATACTTACTAGTCTAAAAGAATTAAATTCCTTTTAAACAAAAAGCATGATATGTACCTTGGTCAACTACAAACACTACACAAAGCTACAAACAAACAACTGGTATCCTATCAGTTTTAGTAAGAACAACAAATTAGTCTAATATTTTAGTGGCAATCAAATTGAAGAAGCCAAATGTAATAGAGAAGTTGAAGGAAGTTACACTGCATAATTCAGAGAAAGGTGTCTTGACCCAACCCATCAGGGACATCATCTTCACTTAACTTTGTATAAAATCAGTGGAATGGGCACCAGTACCTCCTATCAATGATATACTAACAAGAGAAAAGCAATGGAAAGTTATGGAAACAAGAGAGTCTGCTAAGGACATAGGAGAACACAACGTACATATATAGCAGTCTAGTTGAAGAATAAACTTTGGTGTGGGGTATATGGTTTACATGGAGGTACGAAGTCATGCCTTGCTTTCTTGCATATCTAGCCTGGATCCAATGTGAGGTGGCTAGATTGAAGGGTGTGTGTGTTCACATCTCTTTGCAGATACAGAATAATTAGTATTATTTTTTTGCTAATGAAAAGACAGTAATATGAAATGTGACAAAACACCTGATTTTTTGTACATGCTCATCTCCATAGAGTACACACACTTGGTATCGAATCTTATTACTGTCTACCTTTGATATTAGGAGTAAAAGTGCGAATGACGGCTACTGTGCATATGCATGCTTCGTGATTAGCTAAAATTCAGAATTATCATTTTTAAGGGGGTAATTGCATTCTCACGTATAATTTTCCAACTCAAAATTGTGCTTTACCTCTTCTTCAAAATTTTCTATCGTATTTTAGAGTGACCAGCCTAAAATTTTGTCATCGTTAGTGGAGCCACAGTAGATGTATCATTTTTTTAAAATAGAAAAAACTAAAACAAGAAAAACATTATTTTTTTTCAAAAGTTTCGCGCCATGGATTACATTTATTTTTATTGCAAATTTATTTTTACACGTCTCTACGGCAACAAATCAAGATACATAATAGGTAACCATGTTATTGAAGGATTAAAATAATAACGTCTGACTTTCTTTTTGTAATTTTTATAGTGACAACTCGTTGCTCTAGAACAATTGTAACTAACACTCAAGAGAAACACATGTAAAATATTGACTATCGATCACCTCTAACATCTGCAACTCAAGTTAAATTGAGGAGGCTAGCTGAAACCAAATATAAGTTTGCTAGCACTATTGTAATCAGGTTTATTTTTCTAGAGATAAAACAACTCTTCCTATAAAAATTCGTGAAAACTCAATAAGATCTGAAACATATACAAATGCATTCAGGTTTTGTGTTCACATTATATACTTTGAAATCACAATAAGGGTAGACCAAAAGTTCTCATAAAAAATATCCATATACATGCAGGTCCTCTTAAAACCGAGTGACAGCGTTATAGGTGATTTTGGGATAAACAAAATCTTCAGTATAAAATTGAAAGAGGACAAAACCACAAGGTTAGAGAAGTATATATAGGAAAAAAGAAAAAAAATCATATTTAGAGTTTGAAAGTAGTGTTTTTTTTTGGCGAACGTGAGTTTGAAAGTAGTTGTAAAACACGCAGGTCGGCTCTTTATATATAGCTTGTATATGCGCGTCGAAAAGAGATCTTTTTTAAGAACTTTTGATCTTCCGTTTGGATCACGACAGACGTCGCCCGGCCTTATGGCCTTATCTGGTGCCACGTACGAGTGAGTGCGTGCTGGCCGGCCGCAGGAGCAACACTTGTGGACGCAAGGAATGTGCACCGCATCATCAGAGGTGGCGTCTATCTCTGTGCGCGTTGCCAGGGCCACGGGGATTGGCGGACGACTGGATGGAAGCCGATACAGATACAGAAGCCTGCTCGACGTACGGAACAGGGAACGCCGTACCAGGCGTCCGCACTGTTCGACACCTCGGCGCTTGTACGTGCACACCACACACGCTGCTGGATCGCATGGACAAAGGGCCCGGGATTCGTACGTAAACACTAAACAGGCCACAGAAAGCTCGGGGCGCCGATGGAGACGCCGATGGAGACGTATTTTAAACTTTGACAGCTTTTTTGGGTTGAGTTTGAAAATATGAAAGTGATGTAAGTAGATTCATCTCGGTAGTTTCATAAAAATATATATATTGACTATATTTTATAAATATTTTATAGATCCAAAGATCGAAAACGACTTGTTTTAGATAATCGGAGGGAGTACTGACAGCCAGGTAGAATGACCCGGCGTCGCGATCCATCGATGTCTTGCAGAACAGAACCCGCCGGGCGCCGTCGCTGTTCAGCCATCTCCGGAGACCGGAGGCCGGCCGCTACTGCATGCAGGGTGTGCCACGGGCCAACCAGCGCGCGACAGGCCCCTGCGCCAATGGAACCTGGTCGGCCGGCCTCGATCCGCCGCCTTGGCTGCAGGCCTGCAGCGTGACACGTCGTAGCCAAAGCTCGTACGGCCTGCCGGAGCCCGGAGGCGGCGGCGTCCGGAAACATGAGAGGGAGACAGAGATCTTCGTAGGCATCACCGAGCGATGCAAAATTCCAGGACAACATCCGATGCGATTCCTCATCACCATGGATTCCATGGTGATCGATTGCTGGATCTCAGTGTTTTGTGCTGACAAATTAGCACCGATAAGAGAAGGATTTGATCGGAGACGAAGCTGGCACGCGTACCACGATGTCCATTGTCGTCCATGCATCTTGTACGTATCCTTTCAAAGGACGAATCAATGCCTTTCAATCAAAGGATAAACGATGCATGCTAGTAAATCTGGTTTCAAACAAACAAAAGAGAGATTGGGTCGTTTACTTCCAACGACAGCGGACAACAGAGGCCTGCACAAGTAGTCAAGTACACACGCACCGAACGGAACGGAACGGAACCAATGCCCTGCTCTGCTAGCTGCTCTTCAGTGTCGTCCGTCTCGCCCGCCCTTTATCTCTAGCCAAGTACCGATCCTTGGCCACGCAGCACGCCCCTAGCAGCTCAAAGCTCATGCGTATAACTCGCTAGCTAGCTCCGCCCGGGGAATCCGGAATCCTGTCTCTGCATCAAATCCTCATGGCCCAGGACATGTTCCACCTTTCTCTTATACTGCGAGTAACTTGCACGTATAATGCACGCAAGTAGCTTGATTGATCGGCAGCCCTGTCGAAATCGAGGTGAGGGCCGACCGTCATATACGTGCTACAAAGATCAGAGATGCGTATAGCTAGCTAGGTAGCCTGGCCACCCGGCTGAAAGATACTTCTCTCTGCCCGTGGCCCCGTGCAAAGGGGAGCGCTAGCTAGCCGCACCGTGCCACCGTGCACCGATCTGGACCGCGGGCTCCGGGTGCCGCCGACTTGGCGCAACACGGTCCTCGGCGCTCTCTCGCCTGTCGGTTCACGGCGGGTT